CCTAAACAAACAAACAAAAAGACCAAACCACCCCAACCCCCACCATATGCCCTAATCCCAGACCCTCATTCGCCTTTCAAGAAATAGTTTGAGCACCACCTCCTTCAAGACAACTTTGTGACCCCTACCCACTCCTGTAATGTATTACTCCAAGTCACACTATCTGTGGTTGTGTCTTTATGTCTGTCTCAAGCATCCTGAGCACAGGGACTGGGTCTTCCTCATCTGTCTCCTCAGTAGTGCCTAGCTGTTACCTGTGTCATTCTAAAGACCCAGAATAACTGTTTATGCACCAAGCAGTAATGATGACATATAAGTGGGACAAGGAAACCTCTACAGAAAAGGCTGTGAACTGGGCTTTGAAGAATTAAAGCAGGAGCACGCTCTGCTGAAGTGGAGGGAAGCACATCTCAGGGAAATGGCATGTACAGAGGCCCAGAAGAGGCAAAATAGGTTGTTTTCAGGAACTGATAAAGTCCAGTATGGCTACGGGGGTGGCAAGAAGTAGTCAGTGAGGCTGGGAAGGTAGGGAAGCCAGGTTGTGAATGAATGGCCTTTTCTGACAAGCACAGGAGTGAGGACCTCATGCTGGGGGCAGAGCAAGCAGGCAGTGACCTGATTAGAACTGTATTTTAGAAAGCTGAGATAGCAGAGAGTGGGTGCTTGCAACTTCAGCTGCATCCGAATCACCCGGAAGACTTGTTAAGACACAGCTTCCTGGGTCCTAGCTCCAGGTTTTTGGTTCAGCAGGTCACAGATGGGGTCTGGGAATCTGTATTTCTAACAAGCTCCCAGGTGATGCCGATCTCTGGTCAGAGGCCTACACTTTGAGAACCGTTGCTGTGAGGACAAGGTAGAGAACATGCAGCAGTGAGAATGAAGGAGGCAACTGAAGTAGCCCAGAGGGCATTGGTGGGTCAGGGCAGAATCTGCATCTTCCATGTAGGAGACCTGGGTTTGAATCCCAACCAACGATGGCTACCACCTCTCTGTCAGTGGAGGCTTACCTGTTGCTATGATCCACAATAGGTTTCACTAGAGCTTAGTGAACTAAGATGAACCAGGAAGAAAGTCCTGATGACTTACTATCGAGTATCACCAATGAAAACCCTATGGAACATAAGATTTGTGACTATATCCTTATGTGTCAGTGTCTTATGAGAACCCTGAGGCTAGGGACTGGCTCTTACTCATCTCTGTCTCCCCCACAGTCCACTCTGCAGCCGATCATGAGGATGGTGCAGAACCAGGCAGCGTTTCGTGTGGTGGTGCATGAGATTGTCATGAGTTGGGGGCCGATTTGACAATTGAAACAGCCCAGGTGAGAGGTAATGCAGGCAAACAGAACAGGCATTCATTTTAGATCTTGATGTTGCTAACTTTTCACTGTTTTGATGGTGAGATTTTAGGCATGGTAACAAGTCAGTGTTGGAACAGGAAGGCTATTTTGGGGGCCTCAGACCCAAGGAGCTCTGGTGGTACAGTGCCTAAGGTGTTTGACTGATTACCAAAAGACTGGTGGTTCAAACCCACCAGCCGCTCCATGGAAGGAAGATGGGGCAATCTATTTCCTTAAAGATTTACTGCCTTGGAAACTCAAAGAGAGTTGCTATGAATCGAAATCGACTTGATGGCAGAGTGAGTTTGTTTTTTTGTCTTTTTTTTTCAGACCTATAGTTGGTAACAAGTTCAGAAAGCACAACAAAGACAGGGTGCCCAGAGTTGCTGTTTAATGCCTGCTCATCACAACCCAAAGAGGCTTACATGGTGCTTATCACGGCAGGACCCAGGATGAAACCAAAGTAGAGGACAACGACCTGTATCGAGTCCCAGCACAGGGACAAGGTGCCCTTGGGCCCCACTCACCCTCAGGACAAATATGCGGCATACAAGGCTTCCTCATCTCACCCAGGAACCAACAGGCTGGAGGGTTTGTCGTCACTGGGGTTAAAGAGACTCCTCATGGGAGAACAGGGTCCCAGGATAAGGCAGGGACCGCAGGACACAATGACAAGAAACAGAAAGCTACTCTCCAACAACCCCCAATGGCTTTCACTTCAAACACACTATGCCACACAACACTTGGATGCTAGGAAAACCCAAACTCTTTCACTAAAAACTAAATGCTGTGTAGACCTTGAGCTGAGAACTCGAAGGAAAAACAGTCAAAGCACACTAAAGCCAGTTTCAGGAGCTCCACCATCTCCCTCTTCTCCCTGCAGCCATACTAGCTGACAGTCACATTCCTGTGGACAAGGGACACTGTTTCCGTCTATCATTCTAATGCCTTTAATGGGAAAGGACTTGGGAATGTGTCCACTTTTAAGAAACTTCTTTGAAGCTCCAACTCTACTAGACAACTTAAGGTTACTGGGTTCCCTATTGTCTCTGAGTTTCTGCTGGTCCTGGGGACACAGAAGACTCGGGCTGCTGGTAGGGCAGGGAAATTTCCTGGCAGAAATCATGGATCTTGGGAAGAAACCGGCTTTTCTTCTGCCCTGGTTTTAAAGCTTAGCTGGCCGTAAAGGAAATACCGTACAAATGGCTTTCTTAAAGCACTCTATGGAACTGGGGGTTTGCAAGTGTCACTGGCAAGAGAGAGGCCTGAGCTTGTTTCTCACACCAAGGCTGAGGCTTCTTGGCCTGCGCGGTCCAGCCCCTCAGCTGGGCAGGGTGGAGAGGGGTGATGCAGGATGGAGCGGGGGCAGCTGCTCAGGACACAGGCCGTGGACCTGAGGGGCAGCCCCAATGTCCAGCACTAAGGTTGGGAAGTTAGGGAATGAGCTTTAATTCTGTCCAGATCTCAGCATTAAACTCACTCCCACTGAGTTGTGCAGGCCCCATCTTCCTTTTCTCTAATTCAGTTCTAGGAGGTAGTTTTAGACAGAGCCCAGGGCAAGGAAGTCAAACATCTCTGTCTTTAGAGAACTGGTCAAATGGCTGCCCAGTGGAGACCTCAGAAAGCAATGTGATCCCCAGATCCACAGTCCTGAACCAGACCCCACAGACCCTTGCCCCAAGGCAGGCACCCAGGTAGTCTCTTGGGGACACTGGGGCTCAAGTTGGGCTTCTGATGAGACCCTGTGAGTATTTGAGGAGGGGAGACCGGAGGCATATCTTTAAAGCACACAAAATTAGCCCTGCTTGGAATGGGGGTATCTGCAACCTGCTGACCCTTCCTGGGTTGGGGGCTGTCTTGGGAGCCCAGGAAGTTGAGCAAATGACAAGGCACAATTGTCCTCAGCTGGGCATTAGCTCCCACAGGGCTGTAGTCCCAAACAAGCCCATGCCCCAAACTTCAGATGTCAGTAAGTCAGCTTAGGAACAGTCAACAAGAAGGCCAATTTCACATTTTAAACCAACTTAATGCTACAAACTTTTAAGAAAGTGCTGCCCAGCAGAGGCCCTGAGGAAACCTAGTTCCCTGAGCATAGGTGGTAGTGGCCCTTAGACCACCACTCCTGGCTCTCTCTCTCTCCAGAGGGCATGGCCTCGCTTCAGTTCAAAGTACCCCTTCCCAGGCTGGGTTGGGGAGGAGACAGTATAGGACATTCAAGCCTCTGAGGGATGAGATGAAGCCAAAATGCTCTTAAGACCCCCCCAAGCCTGAGGGGGTAATGTGAACCCACCTTTCCATTAGCTGCTAAGGCCTGGTCTGCAGTGAAGACCCCTCCCTGTTACCCCCTCAGCATTCTTGTGATAGAAACAGAGGCACCAACATGTCACCAAGTCCTGGTCATCTCTGTCCTTAGGGGTCTGTATGAAATTGCTAAGTGGGTAGAAGATATTAAAGAATCACTTCTTTCAACAAACATGGCAAAAAACATCCTCTCAGGGAAGGATGTTGGGGGACAGTACCACAAGTTACCAGAGGGAATGTTTTGGGGCAGAGTTCATTTCACTGAGCACTTTGTCCTAATCCTAACCATTCCCTTCTCTATGGTCTCCTAGGTTCTCGGTGTAAAACAGCCTCTATACCAGGGCAAGGCAAAATCTCTGAGGAGAGCTGCCCATAGCAGCTGGTACAGCAACCTCCACATTCCTGTCTGGGTTCTCCTCAGGAGCTCTTGGAGTGGGGGTATTGTGACCTGCTGACCATTCCTGGGCGGAGGGCTGTCTTGGGAGCCCAGGGGGCTGACTCTCTGGAGGATCAGATCATTTCTACATTCTCAGGGGAAGAAAGATAAGGAATTCCATGGGAAGGGCACTCCTTAACTGGTTGTTCCCTCAGGCCCAGAGATTCCTCAGGAGTCTTGATGCCCCCTGCCCTTGGATAGCTCCCAGGAACCATTTTTGGGACACAGAAGACCTACAACCTAAGGCTAGGACCTCAGCTGGAGACATAAGGCCAGAGCAAGAGGTCAAATGGCCTACAGCCACCACACACTGGAATTTCAAGGCCTAAGTGCAATTAGAGCTCTGGCAGGGTGGAGGGCCCCTGAGAGAGCTAGCCCCCCATCGTGAGGGGAAATCTGGGAGTTGGCCTGGGGCTCTGGAAGCCTGAGCCAGCCCTTGGACTGCGGACAGTGCTGGGCCTGTCTGAGAAGTCTTGCTAGAACTAGAACAATCTCCCTGCTAAAACTCAGGGAAGACAAATAAAACTCAACCTGAAATAAATACAAAGGCATTAAGTGCTTCTTGATAAATCGAGGGTCCTAACTACCCCTCAAGAGGAACTGGCAGGGCCTTTCCCTGGACCTGTTTGCCTCACCTGTGGCCCTTCACGTGAGAGGTCTGAGGTCAGAAGACTAGGTGAGCCTCCCCAGGCCCAGCTCCCACGAAGAAGGGCAGGGCCCGACACCCGACACACTGCTCACCCGTATCCTCCAAATCCCCCCAAACAGCTTCTGCCTGCCAAAGGGTGGGAAAGGGGAGGAGCAGACCTCCATACCCTCAGGGCAGCACCTTGTGTCCAATGTCCCTGTGTGAGCAGAGGGCCTGTCAGTCTGTCCATGAGGAGGTAGAGATGGGGTAGAGCTGCTGAGGGCAGGCAGGGCCACTCAATTAATCAATAGGTCCCCGAGATCATAGGAGTCAAAGAGGTCACTGATGCCCTCGCCCCCATCCAGGCCCCACAGGTAGTCATCTTGATCCAAGGGTGGGGAGAAGCTGATCAGTGGGGAGCTGCATGCCAGTGTCGGGGACAGGAACTGGTCCTCGGTCTGCTGCAGGAGTGGGTGTGGCAGCTCCAACATGCTGTCAGTGGCCTCCAGGGGGACAAGGGGTGGCTGCAGAACCTGCTGGGGAGGCATCGCTGGCACTGGAGACAAACAGCCAAGGGTCATGTTTGGCTCTGATGCCCAAACTCTTTTGGGCATGGCTCTGTGCCAGGGTCAAACCTCAGAGCACAAGGTCAACCTTCCTGCTCTCTGGACTACAGCACCCCCCTCTTTCTCCTTGACTTGCCCAACCTGATGGCACAGGGACACCCCCATCACAGTTAATGAAACCTCCACCCACTCAGTTGCCCAAGTTCACAAGTCCAAGAATCATCCACAATTCTGCTATTTCCTCCATATCCAGTCTAGCAGCAAGTTCAGTCACTCCCACGACCAAATGAATTCTCCAAGCTTCCCATTCCCTTCAGCTCCTCTGCTGGAATCCTGGTCCAAGCACCCTCCCTTGCTCACCTGGACCACTGCGGGAGCCCCCTGACCTGGACTATAGTGGGAGCCACCTCTCCTGGATTATTTTGGGAACTCCCTTTCCTGGACCACTGCGGGAACCCCCATTACCAGTCATCTTGCTTTGACTCTTGCCCCTTACAGTCTGTGCCCTAACTTGGCTTAAAAAAAACCCTAATGGCTTCCCATTGGCTTAGAATAATAACTTGGATACAATTCTAAGCCAATGGGAAGCTATTAGGGCTTTTAAACCTAAGTTAGGGTAGAGAAGGCTCTGTGTGATCTGGCCCCTGCCTACCTTTCTACCCCTCTCCCACCTTCCTCCCACAGCTGTCACACCAGCATTGGCTACTCTTCAGTCCACCAGCTCATTCCCACTGAGAGAGAAGATGATATCCTACACAAGACCCGGGAATTTCCCACCAAATCCATCCTGATGCCTAGAATCCCACCATTTGAGTCATTCCTTCAGCCTCAACCACTGCTCAGCTATGCCAGACTGCTCGATTCACCTCTTACTCATTGTGTAACTGTGGGCAAACGACTGACATTCTGAGCCTCTGTTTCCTCATGTTTAAGATGGGGATGATAACGATACCTGCCTCAAAGTGTTGCTGAGAGGATTAATGATAAACGCACATAAAGAATAGCTGGTAGGCAGAAATCCCATGTTGGGTCCAGCGTGCTGTCCTTGTTATGAAGAATAAACAAAAAACAAACAAACAAACACCAAACCCACTGCCATTGAGTCAATTCCAACTCATAGCGACCCCCATTTGGTTTTTGAGGCAGTACATCTTTATGGAAGTACATTGTCCAGTCTTCCTTCCACAGAGTGGCTGGTGGGCTCGAACCACCAATGTTCTGGTTTGCAGCCAAATGCCTTAGGCACTGAGCCACCAAAACTCCTTATGCTATAAAGAATAGCCCCTGTTTACCAAGGGCTTTCCAGGCACCCACTTTGTTCTCAAGTTGAGGCATGTTCCACTTGCTCAGACACTCAAGCAGCTCTGAGGTAGGCAATTCTGTTACCCCTATTTCCAGATGAGGAAACTGAGACCCAAAGAAGCCAATTAAATGTATTTAAATAAAACCACCACCACCACCACCACCTAACATTTGTTTTTTGTTTGTTCAGCACATTGCGAAGGCATACTAGTGCTACTGAAAGAGGACAGGTTCTGGAGGAAGAAGCATGTGGGTTCAGGCCCAGCCCCACTTCTTACTAGGCGTAGGACCCAGCCCCTCCATTTTCTCATCAGGAAAAATAAAGATCCACCTCACAGAGGTGCTAGGAGCAGCAACTGAGATAACGCATCTGAAAGCCTTGACTGCACACTGGACCTTGCTCTCTTCATTGCTGTTTATCACACCTTAATAGAATTGTCTCCAACAGCTGTCTCTTCACAGCATGCTGCATGCTTGATGGTGGGGGCTAGGTCTTTCTGACTTTGTATCCCCAACACCCACCACAAAGCCTGGCATATAGTAGGTCCTCAGTTCATACTAGCTTTTTCCAAAATCATATGCATGCCACATTATCTTCGGCTTAATCATAAAGGAGTTTTTTAAGTGTCCCCGTTTTGGAGGTGTGAAAACAGAGGCTCCAGAAGATTAAGGTGACCTGTCCACACTCACAAAGTCACTAAGAGGTGAGGGGCAGACTCAAACGCAAGTCTTCCAATTTCAAATCCTGCCCCTTTGTCGGCTACATTTAGGTTTACCTCAGAATGTCAGAGCCTGGAGGGATGTTAGAGACGACTCTTGTCCAAACCCCTTCTACTACAGATGAGGGAAAGTGAGGTCCCAATGGGTTAAGGACTTCCCTGTGATGCCAGAAGGAGAGTCAGAGCCGGCATCTTGAGACTGTAGAGTCTCCCCTTTAGGCATCCATGGCCACAGGTGCTAAGGCCTTGACTCTACTTCCAGCCTGAACATGGAGCATATGTGTCCATGTTTGCGTGAACCTTCCGGGAAACTTCCTCCCCATCCCTTCAGCAGGACACTGTGAGGCCACATAGGACAGCAGCAGCTTGAGCCCTGGCACAGACGTGAGGAAAGGTGGCTTCTGGGCTGGCCCCACCACTGACTGCTCTGAGGCCTGTGTAAGCCTCTAGCCCTTCTCGCTGGGCCTCAGGCTCCTGATGGGGGTAAAACCCTGCCCTTGTTACACATGAAGTCCCCCACCTCCAGCAAGGCCCAGGACAACTGCAGTGAAGGGGTTCTAACTTTGGAGAGCTGTGTGCATGTTGATAGTCGAGCAAGAAGGCAGAGCAGGAAGAAGAGAGAAAACAGGGTGGGGCGCAGGTCTGGGGTGGAAGATAGGCACTGGGGAGGTTCCCAGAGGAACAGATGGCTGGTGGAGGGAGAAGCCCTGCAGGGAGAACCCAGGTGAGGCTGACAGAGGTAGGAAAAATCACTAGAGAAGAGTGGAGACCAGGCTCTTGTCATAGCTCTGCTGCCAACTTGTTGTACAGCCTTAGGGAAGCCATTTGACCTCTCTGGACTTGTTTGTTCACGTGTAAAAAGAAAGGCTGAATTAGAGCAGAGTTGAGTAAATTCTTTCTGTAAAGGGCCAGATAACCTTTGTAGACCACTTAGGGTACTTGTCACATAGTAGTAGTCTTTTTTTTTTTCCCCAAACAACTCTTAAAAATGTGAAAAACATTCTTAGCTCAGGGATCTACAAAAACATCCCTGCAGGCAATGGTTCCTTGACCCTTGAGTTAGAGAAATGGAATTCAGCCAGGTGTTCTGCAGCAGCGCCCTCCATACCTCTCTCATCAGACCAGTTCTAGCTCAGTCTTTGTTTATATACTCAGGTTCTACTTGAGGAAATTCTGCTGAGAAAATAAAAATGGAACACTGACTCTGTGTGGCCTCAGAGGGTCGGCCAGTCTAACCTGATGCGTGGTCCCCGTAAACGGTAAAAACCCTGCTGGAGGAGGGCCCTTCATGGGCTCCCATCTCTGACCCTTCCTAATCCCCACTCTCCCTGGGAGGCCCCTGGGGACCTCTTCCACCTCCCTGCTCCCTGGTGATTGCCCCACACCCTCTCCAGGCATAGCCAGCTTTGAGCCCTATCATCCACCTCCCTAGAAAGAAGCCCCCCAGTCCTGGCTTTGTCTGTGCCTCGTGGTGAGAGCCCTAGGCTAAGAGTGTGAAGACCAAGGTTTAAGATGTGGCTCTGTCACCTACTGTCTGGGGAGTCCTGGACAAATCACATCATCACCTTGCCTCGGTTTATTTCTCTCTAAACTGGAAACAACAAAACCTACTTCAAGATTTGCTGTGAGGAATAAAGGGATAATAGATGTACCCAGTATAGAGTTGTTCAAAAAAAACCTTAGCTATTCTCTCCCAAGAAAATTTTTAGCCTCTCCTCCCCCAAAAAAACCCTAGTTCCCATGTACTGTGGACTTACTGAGTGCCAGGTGCTTTGCCATCAGCAGTTACCACAGGAATAGTAACACTAGCGTGGCAGAAATGATGATAATAAAACCAGTTGCTATTAAGTTGATACGGCCTCATGGAGACCCCATGTGTATCAGAGTAGAACTGTGCTTCACAGGGTTTCTAGAGGCTGGTTTTTCAGAAGTAGATTGCCAGGTTTTTCTTCTGAGGCACTTCTGGGTCGACTCCAATCTCCAGTCTTTCAGTTAGCAGAGAGCATGTTAACCATTTGCATCACCAGGGATTCCAATGATGATAACGACTAAGAGTTATTGCCAGCTACTGTTACAAAGTACTTTACCTACGTTAACTCATTGAATCCTCTCAACCTTGTTGTTGTTGTTATTTGCCGTTGAGTCGGCCCCGACTCATAGCGACCCCTCCTTCGGTTTCTGAGGCAGTATCACTACGGAAGTAGGATTGCCCAACCTTCCTTCCGAGGAGTGGCTGGTGGGTTTGAACCGCCAGCCTTCTGGTTAGCAGTCAAGTGCCTTAGGCACTACACCACCAGACCAGAGCTCCTCAACCTACAAGGTAGGTATTTTTGCTACCAATTACCATGCCCTTTATAGATGAGGAAAGTGAGACAGAGAGGTTAAGCAACTTGCCTGAGGTCACACTGCTAATGAGTAGAAGAGCTAGGATTCAAAGCCAGGTGTTCTGATTACAGACAACATTGGCCTTCCCAGTGAGACAAGAAATGTGCACGTAGTTTATAAAGTACAACTCAAAGAGCTCTGGTGGCACATGAGTTAAGGCCTCAGCTGCTAAGCAAAAGGTTGGAAGTTTGAACAACACAGCAGCTCCGTGGGAGAAAGACCTGGTGATCTGCTTCCATAAAGATGACAGCCAAGAAAACCCTATGGGGCAGTTTGACTCTGTAACACATGGGGCTGCTATGAGTCTAAATCAAGTCAATGCCACCTAACAACAAAGGGCAATGCACACATGTGGGGGAGAATGATTGGACCCCCTGCTGCTGGAGAGAGGGAGGTCCCCAACAATGTTGACAGAAGAAAGGAAACGCTAAGGCTGATTTCTCTCCCCACCTCATGTCTGTCTGGATAGAAGGTCCTACCTGAGGATGCTTCGGGTTCCATGATCCCAGGGCTGGTACCACTGCTGGGCTGGGCAGAGGCAGGGCTAGAGTCAAGGGAGATGGTGGAGGGGAGCGGCTCCTTGGCAGGGCTGTCCGGCTCCTGCACCTCCTCTGGGCACAGGTAGACTTCGATAGGCCCTTGGGAGCTCTTCAGATATATCTGCAGATTCTCCTGGGGAAAGAGAAGCCAGGTCAAGGCTCTGTAGCTCAGGGTATGAGGATGGACACACATGGCTCCCACGGTCCATGTGAGCAAGATGAAGTCCTCAGCTGGGCACGAGGCCTGCCCCATCTGGCCTATGGTGGACACTTGAAATCAAGGAGCTCAATTTTCATTTGGGAAACTACTACTTCCTGACTCTTAGGTCTTGTTAGTTTAGGTTGGCCCAGCACCCTACTGCTACCCCAATAGGTGAGCTTGTGCTACAGGCTGGGAAAATCAGTCACAGTGAATAATTCACAGTGGCACATGACTTAGGACAGTCCAACAAGCATTTGGTCCAGGACTTCTGCTGGGTTTGTGAAAATGGAAGCTGTCCATTTCAGGGTTGCTGAGCTGGTAGCTCAAAGGTTATCTCTACCACTGTAAGGGGAGAGTCCTCCTGGGAATGCGCTCAGCGCAGAGGAAAGCAGAGAGAGAGAGAGAAATGGAATGTGACAATGAAGTCATAGTTTCAGCTCCAGGATCCAGCCTTGCCTGAAATCTGTAAATCTCCCTGGATTTATCATTTGGTTCCTTTTTTCCTTCCCCTGCTTAAGTCAGTTGGACTTGGTTTTCTGTTATTTGTAACCAAGAATCCTGATAGTCGGCCTTCTTACCCCAGCCTCTTCTCAACAACATACCTGAAGCTTAAGCCACACTAGGCTACACACACATCATTCCCGCTTGTTTTCAGGCCTCAAGGCCTTTGCCCGTACAACATTCCCTGCATCCCCCACTTCACCTGGCAGAAATCCTATCCATTCTTTAAGACCCGGTTTAACTGTCACCACCTGTGGAAGCTTCCTCCAGCTATCCTTTCCCGTTCCCTCAAAGCACATCTTCCATTTACAAATGACAGCTTAGAGGCTGGCTTGGGTCTTTACTCCCACTCAACCCTGAGCTCCTCCAGTGCAGGGGGAGGGGGCAGGGTCTTAATTATCTCTGCAGCTCTAGTTCTTCTATTAACAATTTCTTGAGCCCTTATTATGTGCCAGGCCCTGGGCTATGGGTTTAACATGAGCAGAACATTCTCTCATGCAGCTTACATGCTAGTAGATAAGGTTAAATGTAATCATGTAATCACCCAAATACATCACAGCAAGTATATATCTCTTGTTGGTCTTGTCCTCAGGAGGTTAAGTGCAGTAGAAAAGCTCAGGGTATTCTGAAGTCTGGGTGTGATCAAGGAAGACTCTCTTGGGGAGACGATGTTCAAGTTGAGACTTATAGGATGAATAGCAGTAACCACACAGAGACTGGGAAGAACATTTCAGCCCGAGGGGAACAGCTTGGGTGAAGGTCTTACACTGGGCATGAGCTTCTGGTTGTCATTAGCTGCTGTCAAGTTGGCCCTCAAAACTCATGATGATGCCACACACAATGGCATCAGGCAGTTGTGATCCACAGGGTCTTCAGGGGCTGATTTTTTGGAAGTAGGCCAGCAGGCCTATCTTCCTAGTCTGTTTTAGTTTGGAAGCTTGGGTGAAACCTATTGAGCCTCACAGCAACACACAAGCCTCCACTGACACACAGGTGGTGGCCATGCTTGAGGTGATTTGGCTGGGAATCGAACCCAGATCTCCTGCATAGCAGGTGAGCATTCTGCCACTGCCCTCTTATAGGGATGAGTTTGTTGTTGTTGTTGTTGTTGTTATGTGCCATCGAGTCGGCCCCGACTCATAGCGACCCCTCCTTGGGTTTCCGAGGCAGTATCACTACGGAAGTAGGATTGCCCAACCTTCCTTCCGAGGAGTGCCTGGTGGGTTTGAACCACCAGCCTTCTGGTTAGCAGTCAAGTGCCTAGTGTGGTTAAAAAAAAAAAAAAAAACTGCAGGCAGGTCAGTGTGGCTGAAGCAAAGAAAATAGAGGGGTGCAGGAGGAAGAGAAGGCTGATGAAGTCAGTTGGGGCCAGGGCACAAAAGGCCTCCTAAGGGAGCTTTGAGAATTTTCATCTTTAACCTAAGAGAACAGGCCCTGGATGGCACAAATGATTAAGTGCTTGACCATTAGCTGAAATGGCGGTTCAAACCAACCCAGAGGTCCCTCAGACAACAGGCCTGGTAATCTGCTTCTGAAATGTCTCAGCCTTGAAAATCCTACGGAGCAGTTCTGCTGTGACACGCATGGGGTCACCACGAGTCAGAACTGACTCCACAGCAACTAACAACCTAACAGAGCAATCAATGGTGAGCCTGAATGGATTATTGTGAGCACTGATATCTCAGTGGGTGGGCCCACGTGTTCAGGGACACAGAAAGAGACCAGGAATAGATCTTCTTAGACCAGGACTTGGGGGCCCTGTTGCCTTTTCCAGTTGCTGCCATTTCTGCTGATAGTGCCACAGGCACCAGAATGGACCCAAGAGGCTTAGAGCTGGGCAGTGAGGTGTGCCAGGACAGTCTGCAAAGTGATCCAGGATGTTCCAGCCCCACTCTCCCCAAATACTCCCCCTCACCTCGCTCCTGTCGGGCACCTCCAGCCTCGTCTGCGGAGGGGCCTTGACGGCAATCACCGTCTGCTCCTTAAAGTTGTCAACAGCCCGGAGGTCCTGGTAAGTCACATAGGCCAGTGTAGGGGCAGGAGAGTCAAGAAAAGTGACCATCTGAGCAAAACCCAAACCCCCAGCCCACCAGGCTGAGCCTTAACCCACCACTCCTAAGCCCTGAAAACGCCTCTTTCTCACTTCTTTTTATACAGCTTAGAAATAATTAAAAACTCTAATCTGTTCTTTTAATGTCATTTAAAAAAAAAAAAAAAAACTCACTGCCATTGAGTCGGATCTTACTCACAGAGGCCCCTCCTTGGGTTTCTGAGGCAGTATCACGACGGAAGTAGATTGCCCAATCTTCCTTCCGAGGAGTGGCTGGTGGGTTTGAACCACCAGCCTTCTGCTTAGCAGTCAAATGTCTACCTCAAATCCCTTTAGAAAGCAAATAGGGGTACAAGTCCTAAAAAATACGGCTTTAATCAGTCTTTTATGTAAAGACTTCCTCTCTCAAATGAGATCATCAACAGGCAAGAAAACATGTTTTATTTCTTTATATTTCTCACAATGCCTGGTATACTTCTCCCCCCAAAAAAAAAAAGATTCAGATCCAAAACACAATTAGATGGTGAAACCCTTTGGGAAAATGTATCAAGAGCCTTTAGTAAAGTTCGAACTCTTTGATCTCATCATTTCAATCCTAGGAATCCAGCACGGAGAAATCAAAAAATGGAAAACCAATTTGCTCTGGACCTGTGGGCTTGGGACCATGGGGACATCAAGCTCAACTGGCATAACTTACTACACAAAAATATTGTTCTACAGCCTACTTTGATGAGTAGTAACAGGGGTCTTAAAGGCTTGCAAGTGGCCATCTAGATGCAACAATGGGTCTCTCCTCATCCAGAGCAAAGAATGATGAAAACCAAAGATGTATGGAAACAATTAGTCCAAGGGACTAGTGGGACCATGCAAACCTCAGCCTATATGACTACGAGACCAGAAGAATTCGATAGTGCCCAGCTACTACTGACAATCACTTGGAGGGGGATCAGTGCAGAAGATCCTGGATAGAGTGGGAGAACAATGTGGAACAAAACTCAAAATCATAAAAAAAAAAAAAAAGACCAGCCTTATTGGTCTGATAGAGCCTGATGAGACCCCTGAGACCATGGTCCCTAGTTACCCTTCGGGGCTGAACTCACTCTTGTGGCTTCCAGCCAAACAATAGATAAACATATGGGGTGAACACTTACATCAGGTAGGTAAACTCCTTGGAGTGAGAGTGATCAACTGATCAATCATGAGAACAGAAGGGCTATGTACGCATAGGGAGGCCCCTCAGGGGGCACGAGTGCATGGTAGGAAAGGACACAGTGAAGAGGTAACTACAGGGTGCAAGTGGGAAGAGAGCTGTTATATTGTAGGGAATTGCCCTCAATGTCATGAAACAAAGTATGTCTAAACTGTTGTATGGAAAATAAATTTTCTGTAAGCTTTCACCCAAATCACAATTTAAAAAAAAACAACTTTGCTCTGTAAACTTTGGCCCAAATCACAAAGTTTAAAATATATATATGGGAAAACACTCTATAAGCAAAGATATTCAGTGCAGGGTTGCTTATAAAAGCAAAAATCTAGAATTAATCAAAATGTTTGTGATGCCAGAGTAGACTGTGAGCAGAACATTCTCAAACCATTTTAAATATTAGACTGAACCATATGCTATTTGTGTTGTTCATTGTTACATGCCGTCAAGTTGGACCCAACTCATAGCGACCCCTCCTTGGGTTTCCAAGGCGGTATCACTATGGAAGTAGATTGCCCCATCTTCTTTCTGAGGAGTGGCTGGTAGGTTTGAACCGCCAGCCTTCTGGTTACCAGTCAGGTGCCTTAGGCACTACGCTACCAGAGCTCCTCCTCATGCTATTTGTGTAGGTAAAAAAAAAAAAAAAAAAAAAGATAAAGGTGATATGGATCAACCTAATAGTTATAAGGTATGTAATGACATAGAAAAACAGGATATAAAATGTCATACATATACTGCAGGTATACAACCATATTTCAATCACACACCCCCGTGCGTAGTTAAGGAACAATGGCTGTGTTAAGATGGCAGGTATTTCTTCTTTTTCTCCATTTTCTGGATTTAAAGAAAAGCACTTATGTTTATAATGAGACAGTAACTGCAATAGACTTGAGAGGAAGGAAGGAAGAGAGATGCTAGACTCCTTGGGTGAGACTCTGCAGGGAGCCATTGATTCTACTCTGCACAGACATAAGCATGCAACAGGCCACAGGGATCCTGCTCCCTGCCTACCCCTCTCCACAAGGCAGGACTTGCTAGCACTACCCTCTCTGCCACCAAGTGGATATCTCTTGTTGGTCTTGTCCTCAGTCAGGTGCTTAAAGGTCAGAGAGCAGCTCTGGATGAGCTGGTCCAAGGCCTGCTCCATGCTCATCAGCTCCTTCAGCTCCTTCCCCAGCTGCTGTTGCTTCCCAGGCCGGGTGGGGTCTTCCAGCACTCCCCTGCCTCTGGGAACAGAACAGCCCCCAGTGTCAGTTTTAGTCCACACCCAGGGACCCCAACCCCAGGGTTTCTGCAGACAGAGCTGCACAGGCAGCATATGGCCAGACTCCAGAGTGAGGCTGCTCACGTAATTCTACAATGGTACTCCCAGGGTTGTGTAACTCAGTGGTCCTGCCCAGCTTCCTGAGAGTTTCCAGGGATTGGAACTTGAGATTGGGGTTGGGCTGGGGAGAAGAAACAAGTCAGGGCCTGAACCCTATTTTTGGAAGGCTTAGCTTATATCCATCTCTATGTCCCAGCCTCCCCCCAAATGGCAGGGAGCTGGAGCAAATTCAGTTCTGACTTCCTCTTCTGTGTTCTCAGGGTTCATGCTAGTAGCTGTAGGTCTGCTCTCCAAGACCTCCTGGAAGTGGGGAGAGGAGTCTGGACTGCCTTATCTCAGAGGAGGGAAGGAGTCTGGGTTATTCCTGGCTCATCTCTGAGGAGGCTCTCCTAAGCTAGAAGAGGGGAACCATGGGAATCCTTGACTTAAATGAGGATGGGAGTTCTCTTTAGGCCTTTAAATTTCCCAGAAATCCTTCTCGGCTGCCCTTGCCACCCTTCTGGCCCTATATACTTGCTCTCCCACAACCTCCCGATATACTGGCTCCAACCCCCAACACTTGTGTTCATCTGATGATGCTCTCAGCTCCACCCCTGCCATTCGCTTCCATAGGATAATGTTCTGACTCCGCCTCCCGCCCACGCACCCACCGAATGGTTCCATCAGCCCCGCACTCACACCCACTGGATGTTGTTCTTGGCCTTCTTGCGGATGAGCTGGATGCCCTCCAGCACGTTGGTGATGTCATAGATACGCCGCTTCTGCACATCCAGCACCTCTGCGGCCCAGTTCAGGTCCAGGACCCCATCCTCAGACTCACTCAGGAGGTAGATGAACTTCTTGGTGAGCAGCCCCAGTGACGTGTCGTACCGGGTCTTCTCCCCGGGGGACTTAGGGGCTGAGGGCGAAAAGGGCCCAGTCACAGCTCAGGGAGGGCCAGCCTGGGGGGCCTCCTCCACTGAGCTGGACTCATTCCATACCATCCTTCACATGAGCAACCCACTTTGCAGTTTACCAAGCACCACACTGTATAGACAGGGCACCTGATGCCCAGAGACATACAGCAACTTGCTCAAGCTGTCACAGCCAGTGTCAAAGTTAGGATTGGAAACCAAGGGTCCTGACTCCCAGTTCCACCACATTCTAGAGCAGCCATAACCACAATAATGCTTACTGCGTACAGGGCACTGTTCTGAGAGCTTTTTATATACTAACACAATAAACTTACAGGGTCACTGTATAGTCATTCCCATTTTATAGATGACAATACTGAGGTACAGGAAGATTTAATAACTTGCTCCGCTCACTCATCTAGAAAGTAGCAAATCCAGGCAGTCTGGTTCTAGAGCCCGCCTTTTTGGTTTGGTTTTGTCTGATTTCTTTCTTTCTTTCTTTTTTTTTAACATGTCCTACTTCTTAACCACTGCCCTATCCTGCTATGTCAGGAATTTGGAATTCGGGTAGGGAAAGAATGACAAGCCTGGATTCAAGAATGTTTTCTAGACACATACTTGCTTTTCCTTTCCAAGTGTAGCTAGCTCCATGCTTATGTGAGGGGAGTCAGACCTGGAGCATCAAATGGGGCAGGTTCATGTAAAAGAACCCTTTCTCAACAAGGCCTGTGTCATAAGACCACATCTCAGCTACCGCATCTTAAACCACAAGGGGACTTTTGCAACCAAGTGACTTGCAAGTCATATAGCAAGTTAGTGACCAAACTAGTCTGAAACCTGGGTCTTAAGAGAGTTTCAGATTCCTCTGGAAGGGGACGTTAGAATCTTTTAACATATAGATGGCAAATATTTGGCACACAGGCTGGTTAATAGGGTTTTACACCCACAGCAGACATTAGCAATTGATTAGTCCATTCTTTTTCAGAAGACATAATGAGGTTTAGGATCCTTCAAGACAGATCTCTGGGCAGCGTCTACCAATCAATTAGAGAGAAAACGTTCGGTCATTCCTGATCTAGCTGTGCCTCTTTTTATGGGAGACAACTAGCGTTCACAGAGGAGGAGTGACCAGTCAGGTTGGAACAGAATCCTACTTGGACCCCCCAAATTTCTGACCCTCATGCTTCCCACCCAGCCACGTAACTTCTTCATCAGGTCTTAGATCTGTGACCCACCCCCCAAAACAAACACCTACCCTTCTTCCCAAATACAGTTGCCTAAATACCCACTCTGACCAGAATAGTGACTTAAATATCAAGAGGTAGAAATTCCCTACAATTTAGCTTTAGGTAGGCACCACCCTGGCAGCCTCTTGATTTAAAAACCTTTGAGGTGGTGCGGGCTGGATTAATCCAAGTCTCAGTTCCCTTTGTTCACTTATTTAGCTCTCTGTCTACAAGGGAGAAAGACCTTAGTTAAGGTCCTGCTCCTATGAGCTGGATACTATCTTTTGGAAAAGGTCAGACTGGACTAAGCGTGAAAACTGTAAATAGTGTTGTGTGCTGTCAATTCCAACTCACAGTGTCCTGACAGGACAGAGTAGAGCTGCCTCACAGGGTTCCCAGGCTGTCATCTTCATGAGAACAGATCACCAGGTGTTTTCTCCCACAGAGCTACTGGTAGGTTTGAGCACTGAACCACTGCACCACCAGGGCTCCTTTTCTAAGTAGTAACCCCCCAGATAAAACGTGGGTCTTCACATTTACATTATAAGAGTGATAGTACAGTGTGGTGGAAGCAATCACTTAGTATGTCTGGGTTCTAGTCCCAATTCTGAGCACTAGCTCTGTGACCTTGGGCATGTCACTGAAGCTCTGTGAGTCTCAGGTTGCTTCATCAGCAAAAGGAGGCTAATCAGACTCCCTGGCAAGATCAAGTGAGAGAATGCACAGGAAGCTGTTTTGTAAACCGGAAAGTGTGATACAAATATTACTCCTGATTTGGGTAGGGCTGCTGCCCTTGGCCTCACCGCACCCCTTGTCTCCTGAGCCTGCCCTGTCGGCACTGCTTACTTTTGGGGCTGGGGAGGCCATCCACTCGAATGCACTTCCCCTTGGGAGTCCGGAATTCAGAGACTGTGGATCGCCCAATCCCTTCCAAGTCCAGCTTCCTCTTGGCCTTGGAGAGAGTGGAGAGAGAGGCAGAGGGTGAGAATCATTCTTTTAGCCTTTCCCTGCCCTAGGGCCACCAGCAGCCACCTCCAGTGCCTCAGTTTACCACTGTCCCAGTGAGACATAACCACACTTGGAAGTATCAATGGGCTGAGACGTGATCTTTCAGGAGAAGGACATCTTATTTTCTGAGACGCAAACACCTCTTTCACCCTCTGAGAATTAAGCCCTTCAGATCCAACCAAAGCCAATCTGGCCAAGGGCTCAGGATTCTTCTTTCTTTTTTTTTTTTTTTTTAACTTTTATTGTGATTTGGGTGAAAGTTTGTTTTCATTCAATAGTCCATACTGATTTTGTTTCATGACATTGATTGCAATTCCCAAAATGTTAACAGCTCCCTTCCCACTTCCTCCCTGTGGTTACCTTATCCCTGTGCCCTTCTTTCTTGTTTATTCCTGCCTTCTGAGCTTTCTTGGGCTCAGGGTTCCTTAATAACAGGCTTCAAGCTGCCTCTCTACAACCCCCTCCCAGAGGAGGCTGCAGAGAGGAAGGAGTAGGTGGAGCCTAAACCACATCAAGTGGGGAGAGGCCCCTGCAGAAGCAGCTGGCCTGGCCAGGCAGGGTACCCATCACAGCCCCACAGCTGGCCCTTATCAGGGTGGGGCTGGGCATCCGCCCAGGCCCAAGGGACTTCCTGGCTCTGTGCCATGCCCCAGGGAGTGCCCACATAGGGAAGCAGTGCAAACATCCCCCCACGTTTGGGCCCCAGCCCTTTCCTGAATAGACTCCCTTTGCCATTCTTTCTTTGCCGCGAGGGGCGGACAATGAATCCTTCCCCTGTCTTAAGGACAAGCAGCTGAGGCCCTCCTACTCCCGCCAAGCTTGGGAAACACCTGCTGGGGAAATCAAACCACAGGCCCATCTGCTCCTCTCCACCCCACTGCCACCCGGCCCCAATTAGGCCCAGAAGCTACACTAGCCCGGAAGCAGCCTCTCCTGGTTAGGGCTGAGCAAGGGCACTGGGGCATAGGTCAGGGCCCTGGGCCTGAATCTCCCGCTCCTTCACGGACTCGTTGTGTCGCTTGGGCAAACGCCTCACATCTGGGAGCCTCAGTTTCCTCCTCTGAAAAACGGGGCAGAGAATATACCCACCTCAAAGGCTGTTGTGACGATTCAAGGAAGTGACATCTATAAAGTGCTAAGCCTGTGGCTTAGCACCAAGTTAAGTGCTCTGGAAATTAGGAGTAGCTTCCCTAAAACCCAATCTCAGCCTCTTCCTTGACACACCCTTCTGGGGGTCACTGAGCCCACTTCCTGCCTCCCTCCCCAGTCACCCAGACATGTAGGCCCCTCCTCTGGCTGAGACAGCAACAAGGCCTATTTTAACCCTTGGTGGTGAGGTCATGCTAGGCAGGGCTGGGATTTCTAACTGCTGCTGAGCACAGCTGGGCTGACAGGTGTGGAGGGTGATAGCAGTTCTTCCTGCTGTCAGCTCCCCTACTCCCCATGCCTGCTTCTTCCAGGAAGTCTTCCTGGGCTAAGCTGAGGAGCCCTGCTCTTTGGCTTAAGAAGCCTGGATATAAGGCTTCTCTCTTCCATCCCTACTCAGACCAAGACATGATTTAAACAGTTCCTTGCTCATATCCTAAATATTCCTCTTCTACCCTTCTAGCTAGTAAAATCCTAGGATCTAGGGAGGGTGACTTGCTCTAGCCCTATCCTGTCTCTACAGCAAGGCCCAGTCATTCAGTGTATCTTCCGTGTGCCTTGAGCCAAGCTCCAGCACTCACCACCTCACAAATCTTCCCAGCATCACTATGCTGGCCCTATTTTAGGGCTGGTGTAACTGAGGCTCGAAGAACTCCAAGGTCTTTATCAATCCTGAACAAGGCTGTCCATCCTTATTCCCATCTCTTAGAGGAAGCACCAAGGACAAGGAGAGGAAGGGAAGGTCAGGCTGAATCCTATCTGAAGGAGAGGTAGGGTAGCCCAGTCTCCCTAACCCTCCTCTCCCTGACAAGAGAAAACACACTGGGAAGAACTTCACTAGCTAGGAACTATGGGGCTGGGGAAGGAGAAGCGAACCCAACAGGCCCATCACACGTTCACAATAGTCCTGCAACATCAGAATTCTCGAGCTCTCTTGGCAGATGAAAAGTGGAGACTCAGAGAAGTCAAGCCACGGGCCCAAGGTCTGCCTAACTCCAAAGCCATGTGCCGGGTTGCCTCAACTCCATCCCACACAAACTCCCCAGAATTTGCTGGAATTTCATTCAAGGCCTGACCATGCCCACCTGCCCCCATCACTTCTCTTTCTCTTTCTCTCTCATACACACACACACACACACAACCCTGAGCCCTCTCCCTTCTCAAGTTTTTCTTCCCCTTTATCTTGAACTCCTAGGATCCTATACAGCAAAGTGTCCCCGACCAAGGACACCTTTCTGACCTCTGTGGGCAACGCCTAGGAAAAAGTCAGCCCTTGGACAGAACAGAGGGGACAGAGTACAAGCCCAGCAGAATGAGGACCAAGGGCAGGCTGAGGACAGGCTTTGGAATGAGACTGACCTAGATTCATGTTTAGGCCTCCCCCCTTCTTAGCTGGGTGGGTGGGGCAAGTCAGTTGACCTCTGAGCTCCATCTGTAAAATGGGGATAATCCGCCCCATCTCTGCCGCACAGTCAGTGAGCGGAGCAGCAAAGCCTCTGCCTACGATGAGTTCACATGCAGGGAAGCTGCTCTCACTAAAGCACCAGAAAACTAGCAAGGGATGAGTTCAGGGCTGAAAAGACACAGGGAGAGTGCAAAGAGGAGAGCAAAGGTCTGTGGCCATACCCAGAGGCACTTGGTCCTGACCTGGACCCTCTTAGCTAGCCCCTTTGGCTGGGTCTTAAAGGCCTGGTTAGGGTTCAAACTCCACCCAGCCAAGCCCCAGGGAGAAGGGCAAAGGCTGTTCCTCAGGCAGCCCTATAACAGAGATGACCAGGCATGAGCCCCTATAGACTGCAAGATGAGGAAACTGGGGCTTAAAGAAGGGAAGTGACTTGTCCAGGATCACACAGGGAGTGGAGCAAGGTCTTTGCTAAGCCAGAGTTAGACAGTAGGGGGCAGGGCAAATGTAAGGAGTCAGGAGCCACCTCTCTTCCAGACCCCAGCTCCAACACTCCACAGCTGGGCTGCCTGGAATATGCTGCCTAGCCTCTCTGAGCCTCCACCTCATCTCACCTGCCTTGTAGGGTTTTTGTTAAAGTGTTTATTTTCTTTCTTGGTTCTCAGTGGAAAATTCATGTAAATTACAAAGAAAGAAGAACCACACAGGATCAGCCCATCATCACAGGTTCTTGCAGGGATGACACTATAAAATGCAATGTGCCCAGCCAGCACAGGTGTTCAACAAAGGTGTCTCCCCTGCCTTCCCAGAGGGTGGTGGAGTAAGTACTAGATGGAAGCAAGGAGACTTGGGGTCTGGTTTTCATTCTGCCATTGAACTTGGTTGCTGTTCCTAGAGGTCCTGTTAAACAATAGCTCCCTGCCCGGGTGGCACAGTGGTTAAGACCTTGGCTGTGAACCGAAAGTTTGGTGGTTTGAACCCACCAACCACTGTGCAGGAGAAAGATGAGGCAGCCTGCTTCTGTAAACATCTACAAGCTTGGAAACCCTGTGGGATAGTTTTACTCTGTCCTATATGGTCACTGTGAGTTGGAATCAACTTGCCCGCAATGGGTTTGGTCGGACAAATCCTGCTCACCCTGCACTTTGCAGTCTGGCCACAAAGCCAGCAGCCACACCCAGGGTTGGGTTTGGAGCAGCTCCAGGTCACACCCTTGTCAAATGAGTAAGCAGGGGGCTAAGGCCTGCCTGTGGGGCTGTCAGGAGCAGGGGCTCTGGGCCTGGTAGGGGTGCTCAGGGCCCAGCAGCTGTACCCTTAGGATGGTCTGGTGCAAGGAGGTTCTTGGCTTGTGACTTGGACAAGTGACTTCACTTCTCTGCTCAGTTTCCTCATCTGCAAGATGCCTCATTCTTAGCATCTTGACCAAGACCATGAATGTGAAGAGTCCCAAGCAGTGCCTGGCACACTCGAGGCTTCAGTAAAAGAGCCATTCTTGCTGAGATCACGGAGCCCCTCTGAGAGGGATGGTGCAGACAGATGCGCTGGGGCTCCTCTGGGAGGGAAGCAGTTCAAAACCACAGCTGTTACCGAAACTCCCGCCAGGGTGTCAGAAAGCAGCTGGCCAGAGGAGAGACTAGGCCCCACCCTTGAGCCCCTCCCGGGGTGGGGGTGGGAGGGGAGCCCAATTCCTAGGTTGGACAATCTAGGGACAAGTCAAGGTTGCATAGAGACAAGCCTGCCTATCACCTGCCTTGTGGGTCAAGAGACCTCAGGCCTGGTGTCCACACTACCTTGTCCCCATGTGGCTTTGAGCATAACTTTTCCGAGCCTGTTTCCACCTGTAATGTGGTGATACTAACACTATCTACCTTACAGGGTACAAAAGGAGTGTAGGCTATAAAATGCTAAATGTAGGAAAGTCACCTAGTCCTAGTTATGCTTGGTCTTGCCTGACCTATGAAATGGGGATAATAGCATCTACTCCTGCCCCCTCCCTCTTAGTTGGAAATAATGTACAGGAAGGGACTTCGGACATAGGCAAAGCATGACTCTGGTGGCAGGAATGGGGGCTCTCCCTGCATCTAGCTGGGGCCCTGTGCCTGCTGACACAGGTATCAGTCCTTTGGAAGAAGGGAGTGATCTTATCCCTGTTCTTGAACTTATTCACCACACCCACGGCTAAGTATACCTGCAGTGCCTCCAATTTCCCTCCTCAGCCAGCTTACAAAACCCAGGACCTGGAGCTAGAAGTGACCCTGGATGAGCTGGCCTCACAGATATCCCAATGCACACACATTGTCTAGATGAGGAAACTGAGGCCCACATGGGGCCTAGACTTATCCAACACCACAGTGAGTGGCACAGTCAGGACCTGAAACCAGGCACCCCAACCACCACCCGCCCCCCAGGGCTTTTCCCACCCCTCCCCCACCCTGTACTTGTTTTGATTCCCATGGGCTCCAGTAATTCCACTCCCACAAAACACACCCTTGTGCCGAGGTCGGCAGGCAGCCTGGTGCCACCACGCTTTGGGCCTCCCTGGCAACAGGCCTGGGGCTTGAGAAGGAACAACCAATCTCAACAGGAACTCCAGGGGGCTACCCTCAACTTGCACCTGCTACTGGCAGTCTGAGAGGAAAGACTGGGGAAGGACCTAGCGCAGATACTTGGAAAGCAGTTGGCTGAATGGGCAATTTGGAGTCTGTCCAAGACAGGCTGCACCGTAGATACCCATCAGACCTATCCTCTGTTTAAAGTCTTCACAGTGTCCTCAGGTTAAGCCTTGTGCCTGGACAATAGGAGGAGCCCAGTACTGATAGAGTCCAGTACTGGCCCAGAAGGGCCAGACAATGAATGAAAGAGTGAATGAATGGTGGTAATGTTGGCTCCATAGACTTCCCCAAGGTCACACTGTGTACTGAGGGAAGTAGGCTGGAGACTCCCAATCCAGTGCTCATTCTACTCCACGCCAATGAAGAAAGTTATTTTACCCAAAATCTGAAAATGAAGGGGGTTTCTATTCAGATAATGGAAGCAGTGGGCATTGTGTAGGCCAAAAGCCAATCTTCTTTCCCCTCACAAAACTCTGGATCCCACGCACCCCCCCTCCTTACATCCAGAAAAGCATAAAGATAAGGAGTAGGGGTCCCCAGCATTACCGGCAGGCGGCCTGCGGGCACGGATCGCACAGCTTGGCCCTCTGGTCCGTGGGGGGTAGCGTCGAGGCAGGTACCCGGCGCCGCGGCCGCCGCAGCCGGGGGCACCGTCTGCGGGTAAAGCGAGGTGTAGTAGGTGGTGGTGGCCGGGCAAAGCTGAGGGCTGCCGAGGTCGGGAGGCCACAGTTCAGTAGGGCTCATCGCAGGCAGCCCCTTTGGGGGCGGCCCGGCTGGAGCCAGGGCCCGGGGCCCTCGCAGCATGGCGAGCGCAGCGCCCCCTCCCCACCCGAGCCTGGCGTGCTTGCTGGCACCTGCGGGCTTGGAAGCCCGCAGCAGCTTACACAGCCCGCGGCATGGCGCGGAGGCTGGGGGAGGCCACCAATGGACTTCTGTGGGGCAAGGCCGGACCCTCCTCTCCTGGCCCGTGGCCGAGGCAAGCTGCGCTTGGAGATCGCCGCTTAGAGATCGCCAGGCGGCGGCGGCTGCAGCGGCACGGGCAGGGGCTGCCCCGCCCCGAGGGCGGCCGCGACCCGGGACGGCCCAGCGCCCTGAGACCTCGGTGCTGGGAGGCCAGCCCGCTCCGGGGAGGGGACTCCAGAACGCCCGCAACTAAGTGGGAACACGATGCGCCCAGATAAGGGTGGGGGCAGTGGCACCGACTCTCCACTGGCTCGCGCTCTTGTCTCCCTGAGCCTTTCTCTGGGTCCTTTTTTCTCTTCTTCTTCTTCTTTTTTTTTTTTTAGCGCCAAACTGCGTGCCGCGAAATTTGGATCTCCCGCGGAAAATGCTGCGCTTCTATTGGTCGTTGCAACAAGAGCAGGCTCCACCCCCCGGAAAGGACCCGTCCTGGAGGCGGTGATTGCAACACGAGCTTTGCTGCTTAAAGTGGCCGCTGCACCTGCTAGCGCCTGGTCCCTACCCGGGCTAGCAGCCTGAGAAGCTGAGACTGAGAGGGTGCTTGCCTGGGACGTACCAGCGCAGAGACAGCCAGAACAGGCAGAGCGTGCCGAGGGATAGCCTTGAATTCCCAGGGATTGAGAGAAAATGTTTTGCAGCGGGATCCTAACCTGAGCCTACACCCAACAGTGCATTCCTCAAGCCATGGGACCTATTGTTAGTTTGCATTCTAGGTTAGCCAGCATCTATGCATTTATACCCATTTTCCCGTTAAAGTGGCAGTGGGAAGAGTCGCAGCCTAACGTACCTCTTCATAGGGAGAAACTAATATCTATTGAGCACCTACAGTACACCAAGCACCTTGCTAGATCATTATACATGTTCAATTTAATCCAACAATCCTGGGAAAAGGAATGGTGATCACCGACATGAAGATGGAGAGTCTGAAAGGTTGGGTAACTTGCTCAAGTTCACATACCAAAATTTGCTGGTTTGCAGACCTGACAGTTGAATCTGAGACAATCTGTCTCCAAAGCCCCTGTCTGTTTCAGTAAAGGGATCCTCCCCACCTAGCCAAGCTGTGCCCTGCCCTTTGCAGACATAGTCTACAGTTCAGAGCCCTGTCTTGTTCACAGTTGTATCCCCAGGGCCCAACGCTCAGTAAATATTTGAACCTTTCCAGATTTTTCCTAAAACAATCCTTTTGAGGCTCCCTTCCCTCATTCAAAAGCCTACGTGGCTGATAATACATTTACATTCCTCATCTTTCTTGTTTAGGGATGCCAAGTTTCAGGGGAGGTGTTAAATGGCAGAGCTTCTAGAAACTGTTGCTAGATTTCAGGTTAGCCCTCCAGAGTCCTTCCCCAGCTTAATACCTGGTCAGATTGTGAGGACAATGTAGTAAAATCCTTGATGGTGCTTAAGAGTCCAGGCTTTAGAGCAAACAGCCCTGAGTTCAAACGCAGGCCCTGCTACTTACTTACTAGCTGTGTTACCTCATGCTAGTTTTCTAAACTCTCTGAGCCTTAGTTTTCTCATCCTCTCTGGTGGTGCAGTGCCTAAGGCATTTAACTGCTAACCAGAAGGCTGGTGGTTCAAACCCACGAGCCACTCCTCGGAAGGAAGATTGGCACTACTTGGAAGTAGTGACACTGTCGCGGAAACCCAAGGAGGGGTCGCTATGAGTCAGACCCCACTTGATGGCGGTAAAATTTTTTTTTTTTTTTTTAATAACACCTACCTCATAGGATTATGGGGAAATCTCATGAAATAATGCATGTAAAACTCTCAGCATAGAGCCTGGCTCGAAGGGAACCTGAGAAATGGCAGCTTTCCTTACACCTCTGTCCTTATTTCTGCAATACAGACCCTTTCTCTCTCTAGTTTACACATCTCACTAGTCCTTTAAGGCCCACCTTAAATTGTACCTCCTCCAGGAAGCCCTCCCTTCTGCCTCCTCTCTCTCAGAGTGCCTCTGGTCCTCTTGGGACCTTTAGTACATTCTGCCTTATGTCCCAAGGCCTTGTTTTCATGTCTTGTTTTTCAGTTAAGTCCCAAGCTCTCTGAAGGGTTCAGGGTCTATCCTTCTTTGGATGCCCCTCAGCATTTACAGCCTAGCTTGGCATGCAGAAGGTGGGTAATAAATATTGACAATATGATTCACTCATCTTCCCAGCAGACAGCAACAGAGATTAATGAGATCTGAAGTCAGAAAGTCAGAAGGCCCTGATTCAAGTTCCTGCTCTTTGCTTCCTAGCTGAGCGACCCTGGACAAAGTTCCACCTCTCTTAACCTCAGTTTCCTCAGCAATCGAATAGGGATCACACCACCAGTTATTATTTTTTATTATTTCACAGGAATTTGGAGACACTATTGAAATGATGGTGGTGATGATGATCACTAATGTTTATTAAGAACCTATTATGTGCTGAGTTCCATGTACTTCATCTTGAGCATCTCCTCTGATCCTCATAACACCCTTCTGAGACAGGCACTATCATTATCCCCATTTTACAGATGAAGGAACCTGGAAGGAATTGTGGCAGAGCAGGTTTGAGGAAGGAGCAGGGCCCCTGGGCCACGGAGGGAAATGGGGGTGGTAGGGTGGGGCTAAGAGAAGAGAAGGGAGCCAGCAAGGGGGCTGCGAGCCAGCTCTCTGTGGTTCAGTTTCGGGCAGCTGGAGCTGTCTTTAAAGTTTCAGTGCCTGGGAACTGACTAATTCCTGCAAGAAGTGTGAGGCACAGGTCTGAAGTCCTGCCTCATTTATTCCTACAGCTGTGATCTTGGAAAGATTGCTGGACCTTGCTAAGCCTCAATTTTCTTATCTTTGAAATGGGGATGACAAAAGTGGCTTCTTGGATTACTAAACCGAAAAATCCTGTTGCTGTTGTGTCAATTCAATAAGGTGTTGAATATAAAGGCCTTAGAGGGTGATAGGTGCATGCTAGCACCAGTACTAGTACCAGTTGCCTTCAAGTCATTTGCAATGCACAGTGACCCCATGTGCATCAGGGTAGAACTGTGTTCCACAAGGTTTTCAATGACTGATTTTTCAGAACCAGATTGTCAGGACTTTCTTGTGAGGCACCTCGGGTAGACCTGAACCTCCAACCTTTTGGGTAGCAGCCAAGTGCATTAACCATGTACACCATCCAGGGGCTCTGGGAGATGCAAGTTGCATTGTTCTTATTTGCTGTTGAGTGGATTCCAACTCACGGCAACCTCGTGTGCAGACTAGAACTGCTCCATAGGGTTTCCAAGGCTGTGGCCCTTCAGAAGCAGATCACTAGGCACATTTGGGTGGGTTCCAACTGCCTGTTGTATGCTGTCTAGTCAATTCTTGCTCATAGTAACCCTATAGGACAGAGTACAACTTATAACTCCCCATAGGGTTCCCTAGGGTATAATCTTTGTGGCAGAAACACTAGTGGCACAATGGTTAAGAGTCTGGCTGCTAACTGAAATGTTAGCTCTTCAGACCCACCAGCTGCTCCATGGGAGAAAGATGTTGTTATGAGTTAGAACTGGCTCAATGGCAACAGTAATCTTTATGGGAACAGATCTCCAGGTCTTTTCTCCCATGGAGTGACTGGTGGGTTCAAACCACTGACCTTGATGTTAGCAGCCAAGCATTTAACCATTGTACCACCAAGGCTCCTAAACTCTTGCCCAAACCAAAACCAAACTCACTGCCATCAAGTTGGATTCGATTCATAGTGACCCCTCCTTGGGTTTCCAAGGCAGTATCTTTATGGAAGTAGATTGCCCAGTCTTCCTTCCGAGGAGTGGCTGGTGGGTTTGAACCTCCAGCCTTCTGGTTAGCAGTCAAATGCCTTAGGCACTATGCCACCAGAGCTCCCATAGTCTTTCCCAATAGGTACTTAGTACATTTTAGCTAAGGGTTGTGTGATAGGGAGAAGAGGCCTTCACGTGGAAACAAATTAAAATACTTATAGTTTCCTGGACACTCTCTACCCTCTTTCACCTCCTAGACTTTGCTTACTTGACTCTTTACTGGAATACCTCTCCTCCCCTCCATCCTATGTGCCCAAATCTGGTCCATCCTTCAAGGCCCAAGTCAAATAGTGGAGTACCAAGAGCAAAGAGCCTGATGTAGGGCACCTGACAAAATTTTGAACTATTTTTTCTCCTCTGTGCCGTACTCCTCTGAAGAGTGCCAGGCACATAGTAGGCCCACAGTCAGTGATGATGATAATAGCTCACATTTCCTGAGCACCTCCTCAGGTGAACAGCTAAGCACTTTACATGCATTATTTTGTGAAACCTCCCAACTATCCTATGACATAGATAGATACAGTATAGACAGATGAGGAAACTGAGGCTTAAACATGTGGAGGAACTTAACCAAGGGCTGGTTAAAGGTAATGCTAGGATCTGAATCCAGATCTCTGTCTCCTAAGGTACTGGGTTATTTTGAACAAAGACTTTAGCTCCAGAACCCCATATGAAGGAGGGGGTACCTTCTGCCAATGAACTAAGGGTTCCAGTGCTGCAGACATTATTGGAGATGGAAAGAGCATGCCCCACACCAGATGAGTTAGGGATTGTGGTAATTATGTTGTGTGTCAACTTGGTTGGGCCTGGTTTTGAGTGGCTGGACAGCCAGATATAGTTATTTCCCATGATGAGACAAGTAATCAACTCCATGGTGGAATCTACTGTGAGCAGCTGAGTAGCTGCCTAGGGGTGTGTGCCTAGGGGTGTGGTCTGCTTCCAGCATATAAGAAGATGCTTTGAGAAAGGTCTTGAGCTTTTTAGCATGCTTGGATCCTGCATGTAGCTGAGTCTTCATTCAGCAGCCTGCCATGTTGCCTGTCAATCTTGGGACTGTTTCTGGACTTGAA